CCCGCCCGCCTGGGCAGCTGCGGAGCAGACCCTACCTTAATACTGACCTTCCGCGGCCCCCCGCCCAGCCCGCTCCTCCAGTAGGCTCTCGGTGCTGGCCGACGTCTCGGAGTCCGAGCCCCTGGGGTCCAGCTCCGGCAGCCGGTAAGTGATATCCTCCCTGGGGGGCAGGGTCACGTGTCGAGAGGCCACCACATGGGAAGGCCTGGCTGATGGGGGCAGAATGGGCTGACCTGCTCCTTGGGTCTCTTCTGTCCCCAACCTGTCCTCACCTGAAGCACACCTGGCCTAATATGCTCTTGGCTCTTGATGCTTACCTGAGGAAAGAGCTGACTGGCAGAGGGAAGCCTGGGCATCCAGCACAGCACTGAGCTAACAGCAAGCTCCTACCCCAGGCCCTTTGTACACACTTGCTCCCACAGCCTGATGCACCCAACTCCACTTCCTGGGCCTGAAGTGGCCAAGCAACCTGGTCATGTTTGTTCTCGTGGGATTGAGTTTAAATTTTTTGAGACAGGCTATGTTGCCCAGGCTGCTCTCCAGTGATCCTGCTTTAGCCTCCGAGGAGTGAGCAGCAGGGATACAAGGACATAGCTCTCTTTCCTTTCTACTGTGGTGGGATGGAACCAGGGCCCTGCCCGTTGCTGGCAACTCCCCACCACGGAGCCACACCCCCAGTCCCGTGAGCCCCTCTCCCACTCCGCCACAGTGACCAAGGCTGTCCCACATATCATCAGGAAGAGACTGGGGCTTTGCCTGGCTCCCCTGTGGGCCCTGGGCTGGAGCCCACAACAGGCCGCACAGGGTCCCGGGGGTGGGCCTTTTCTCTGTGCTGGGGACAGCCGTACACCTGGCCAGGCTGGGCACCTGGGGGCTGCCAGGTGGGGCTGGGTAGAGAGGCCCGGGGGTGGGGCGGGGCAGGGCACTTGCTTCTCCTCCTTGAGGGACTGGATGCGCTCCATGAGGATCTCCTTCTCTCGGTCCTCGTCATCCCTGGCTGCTATCGCTGGTCCCTCCTCAGGCAGTGCCTCCAGCTCCTCCAGGCTGCTGTCGCGGCTCACGGGGGTCTTGGGGCTCTTGCTCTGCAGGCGAGGCAGCAGGTATAAGGCAGCGCGGCACGGCACGGCACGCTCCTTGCGAGGGTTGCTTGGGACAGGAGGGCTGGGGAGCTGGGAGCCGGGGCGCAGTCCAGGCCAGCTGGCTCCCTGAGCACCGGCTCCGCGGCGGGAGCTACCAGCATGCAGAAGGGGAGTTTAGGCCGCACCGACCGCCGTCTACCCTACGGGATCTGCATGCACCGCGGCCGCCGCCGCACACTACATACCAGCACCCCCTCACAGGGAGATGAGAAACCCAGTTTGAAAGGCCAAGGCTGGGGAGAGACGGACACAGGGTGAACGTACGGCCCACGGGTGGGGGATCCCGAGCGAGCACCTCCGAGCGGTCTGGGTGCCGACTGTGGGCAGGAACTTGGTGGGTCCACCGGGCCAAACCCCGGCGAGAGCCGAGAGCCGGAGGGGTAGGAGGAGTGCAGGCCCCGCCCCACCGGCCCCGCCCCACCGGCCCCTCCCTGCTCACTGCGCTCTGCTGCAGGAGGGAGAGCCTGTGGCAGGCGATGCTCTCCGCCGCCTCCAGCTGGCTGATCTCCTCCATCTTCACCTTGTACTTCCGCATCTGCTCTTTGATCAGCATCTCCACGCACCTGCGTCCCGCGGGAGACGGATCCATTACCCACGGCGGCGCTGCGTGGCCGGGCAGCCTGAGGAGGGCTGGGGGGGGAGTGCACTCACGCGGTGCTCTTGAGCAAGTCCTTCATGCTGGTCAGCGGGTCCGAGTTGTCCGGGCAGCGCAGAAGGCAGGGCGCGAAGATGATGGCCAGCGCCCCGGGCGACATGCGGTTCACATCCTCCAGCAGGGCCACCCTGCACGGCCACCGGCAGTTAGGGCGGCCGGCCTGCGCCCAGGACCAGGACAGGAGGGAGCCCAGCCCCGGGGGAACACTTGCTT